CCAGATGATACATATACAATTTCACCCTTAATTATCTATGGCTTGTCCTGTGCATGGATCAACAAAGACATATATAAAACATGTCTGTACTAGGTAATTCTTTCAGAAAATTACACAATCAAATAGTCCGGATGGCATTTGTTAAAATACATTTAGTTCTTTATGTGAAATCTTTTCCTAGAGATAGATATTCAGCACTGTAATTCTTTGGTTTCTACTACCTTGCACAAGATTTAAGTCTTGGCATAATTATAATTTTCCTTGACCCTCTTTAGAGCTATTCAGTTTACATCATTATGTAGTATACTGAAGAGTCACACAGTGTCTTCTTGGATCTTCTCAACAATGCTTAACATTTTTAAAAGAGTTTCCTAAAGGTTGAAAAACTATAACAGTGCTTTCAGCTCCAGCTTCTCTTAGTTGCTGCAGCCACAATTCAAGCATACAGTTTGCAACAGCATCAAAGAATATCCTGGGGCTCAGCCTAGGGACTCTATCCAGTTGTCTTAGAAAATTTTAACTATGTACCTCACCTACACTGTGATGAGTATATTTCTTTTCTTTCCTTTCCTTTTGGAGATAGGGTCTCACTCCATCACCCAGGCTGGAGTGCAATGGCACAATCATAGCTCACAGCAGCCTCCAACTCTTAGTCTAAAGCACTCTCCTACCTAAGTCTTCTGAGTAGCTGAGACTACAGGTACATGCAACCATGGCCTGGCTAATTTTTTTATTTTTTGTAGAGATAGTTGTGACTCAAACACATGTCTTTGACCACTCTTCCAAAGAGGATGGATAGTATTTACAGTTAATGATATATGAAACATGATGAGAGAAATGAGTGAAAGATAATTTCATATGTAAATCCCAGATTAATAGCTGATAACTACAAAGACCTGGAAAAAAGTATTAAAGGACATTTAGCCCACTTGGCCCCTTCTTAGAGGCTGCACCAGGATGATGACTTCTGCTCGTGGCACTGCAACGACACAGCTGTGTAAATCTGGATAAGTCAGTCACTTCAGTTCTCCAGGTTTCAGATTTCTTCTCTGAAAGACAGGGAAAAAACTTTTATGACTTTGGGTTAGACACAGAAATCTGAGAAACAACTCTATAAACATGATCCACAAAAGAAAAAAATTAATAACTGGACTTCATCAAAATTAAGAGTTTCTGGTCTTCAAATGACACTGTTAAGAGAATGAAAAGACAAGTCACAGACTGGGGAAAATATTTGCAAATCACATAATGGATAAAGGACTTGTATCTAGGATATTTAAAGAATGCTTAAAATAATAATAAAACAAAAACAATTTTTTTAATGGGCAAAAGGTTTGAACAGAGACTTCACCAAAGATATGTAGATGGTCAATAAGCACATGAAGAGATGTTCAATATCATTTAGTCATTAGCGAAATGCAAAATAAAACCACAATGAGATACCAACACACACCTGCTATAATAGGTGTTGGCCAAGATGTGGAAGGATTAGAACTCTCATACATATATGGTGGTAACGTAAAATGTTATAACTATTTAATAGCCCTTTGGCAATTTCTTAAAATGTTAAATATACATCTACCATATCACTCAGTCATTCCGCTCCTATGTTTTTGCCCAAGAGAAATTAATATCTATGTCCAAAGATTTGTACATGAATATTCATAGTAGCATTATGTGTAGTTGCTATAAAATGGAAAAATATCTATCAAGAAATAACTGGATAAATGAATAGTGGTATATTTACATAAAAGAATACTACTTGGCAAGAAAGAGGACTAAACTACTGACAGATACACTAGCAGAGATGAATCTCAAAATCATTATGCTCAGTTAAAGAAGTCAGATAAAAAGATAAGAATAATTCAATTCATTTTTTTAACCTATGAATTGCAAACTTATTTATAGTGACAAAAAAAAGATTAGTGGTTGCCTGAAGAAGGGGAAAAGGTTGTGAGAAGGGACAACAGGACAGCAAAATTTTAGAAGTGACAGATCTGGTCATTATCTTGAATGTAGCAATGATTTCATGTGTGTATATATATTTGAAACTTATCAAATCATACACATTAAATATACACAATTTATTGTATTTCAATTATATCTCAATAAAGCTCTCTTTAAGAAAAAAGAGAGTGATAGGTATCAAGACACTATGGTATTGGCATAAGGATAGATTAGTGGCACAGAACTGAGAGTCAGAAAAAAGACCGATATTTTTATGGTCAGTTAGTTTTCAACAAATGTGTCAAAAAATCAATGAGGAAAAGATTTCTTCAAAAAATTGTGCTACAATAATTGAATATCCATAAAGAAAAGAAATTACCAATGACATCCTACTGAAAAATTAATTCAAATTGAATTATTGACCACAAGGTCAATAAGATCCAAAATCACAACACTAATTTTAAAAAGAGCATAGGGAACAATACTTGCAACATAGGTTTAAAAAGTATTCATTACACAGGACATAAAAAACATAAAACAATAAAAGATTCAAAAATTGACAAATTGAAATGTGTTAAAATTAAAAACTTTTGCTTATCAAAAAACATCCTTGAGAAAATGAAAAGGCAAGCCACAAATTGTGAGAAAACATTTGTAGAACACATATCTCACAGAAGACATGAATCCAGAATATATGATGACCTTTGACAAATAAATAATGGGAAGGAAAACTACCCAATATTTTAAAAACATGGAAGATTATCAATATTGGCCCAAAAAAGAGTAGTCCAATTTCTTCTAGCTAATCTGTCTTACATCTAAAAAAACCTCAACATAATACAACAAACATAGGAAGATTCTGAATGGTGGACAGACTATGCCTAGGGACTTTGGAACTTGAGGGAAAGCAGTAATTAGTTTCCTGGGTTTTCTTTTTGTTATCAAGGGAGAAGCCTAAGACCTAGAGCCGCATGGCACAGATGGGGAGGAGAGTTGAAGTGTGACAGGGAAGAGGACACGCCAAGAAAAGCCTGCTCCCCTTAGGCAAAGTACTAGGAAAAATGTAGACTTACATAGGATAAAACCTTTTTGACAATATCTGTTCTTCTCCAGCCAAATACTGTGAAAAACCTGCCCTCCTCCACACCAGAGGTTCCATAGTTTTAGCAGAAATAAGCAAAAATCTAATATTTTACATATAACTCACCAGTATAAGCAGGCAAGAACATTCTGATTCCCAGCTGAGGTGGTGGTGTGGGACCAAGTAAGGAGCTTATATTTCAACTCTTACCCAGCAAAAACTAGCAGTGCACTGATTTACCCTTCTAGGTGGTGTCAGCTGGGCCCAGCAGGGAGTAGAGCCTCTGCCCTCAAGCAGCACATGGTAGGGCTGGTCTTCAATTAATTAATCTAATTCCATATCCTTGATTCTTTTCTCCCTCAGCCCTCGCTGTGTTGATGATCAAAACAATCCTGGTTAACATTCAACTCTCTATCTATTCCATTATTGTTCTCATACAGCCAAACAAGTCTGGAGGAAAATGAAAATTATGTTGACTATGTTCACATTAAGTTCATGGCCAACATGACCCCTTTCCATTGCCCAGCAAGTACACAATATCCAGTCAATTTCTCTCCTTCTCCTTCTAGATAGCTATTTCTAAACTATTTATTTCTTCTCAAACTTTCAACATCCCTTTCCCATAGCCAGTTTTACCTGTTGACTTGACTTCTTTACTTCTTTTACTTAAAAGGAAAAGAAAAATGAAAAGGAAAGGAAGGGAAGGGAAGGAAAAAAGAAAAGTATCAATTAGAAGATGTGGTGGACATGTCATAGGATGATCTCCAGTGGATCGCGTTCTTGTATAGAACCATCCCCTGAGTGTGGGCACAACCTGTGACGTGATTCTAATCAATAGAATGTGGCAAAGATGAAGGGGTATCTACTTTAAATAGGAATGAAACAAAGATAATAAAATTGATTAGACTTGAGACTTATTATTAAGTATACTTGCTTATTAAGAAATTGAATAAACAATATTTGCAAAACGGGGTTCAACTAACTTCATTCCCCTGATTATGTCATATGACAAAGTCGAAGGAATGTTGCTGAAGTAATTAAGATCTCTAATCAGATAACTCTGAGTTAATCAAAGCAGCAATAATACTTGGTGAGCCTGATCTAATAGGTAAGCCCTTACCAAACTTAAATTTGTTGGTGTTTGCACAACTAAAACACCAAAACTCATATATATACACATATGTAGTATGTGTGTGTGTGTGTGTGTGTGTGTGTGTGTATGGAGAGAACTATATGCTTAAGTGAGTAAATTTTACTGTATTTAATTCTACCCCAATAATATTTTGAAGCGAATGTTAAGATCCCTTCTTCACAGTGGGATTCTAAAAGCAAGATTTAGACCCAATGAAAGGTTGAGAGGAGAGATTATTTTTCCCAGAGCTTGAAAACCAGACTACTGGGGCAAATACCTATTTGTGATACTAATAACTGGAAAAAGAAAATGGAGATTTTATTCAAATGTTGCTCACCTGTTTGGGTTAATTCCTACTCTAGGTATAACCCAGATGTTCCTGAGATGTGTTTTCCTATTCTTTGAAAACTGGAATATATAGGAAGATTTAACTCTTTAAGCATTTAACCTTTTCCAGGTCCATTGGGGTATTTGAATGATTAGTATTGTCTATGGCTTCTTTAACATCACAATACTGCAGAGACTGTATGACCTGCAAAGTCTAAAATATGTATTATCTATTTGGTCCTTTAAGGAAAAAGTTTCTCAGCCTCTGGTTTAGATAAAAGAGAGCACATTTTTTTGGCATTTATTCTAAACAAGAATTAAACAAAGATAATGAAACTGATTAGACATGGATGATGTAGATATACTTCTTAAATCTGATCCACAATATTTGCAAAATTGGATTCCACTAACATGTCACCATTTCATAACTTGCATTGTAATAAAAGCATTAAAATTAGCAATTATTATCTAAAGCAACTCAGTGATATTTTTATTTCTGTCTATATACTCCAGGTTTTTTTGGCTCATGAACCTAAATTCAACTGTTGTCTTTCTGGGAATATCTTACATCCAGTACTCAGGGACCTGGGCCCTTGTTTTACTTATTCCTTTTATGTCTACACTTATGACTCTGATAACTCTTCATATGATGTCCCATAACCTGATTTATCAGCCAGAAAAATGTAAGTAAATTATACTTCACATTAATTTTTTTGTTGTTTGTATTGTTCTTTGACAAATCTCTTTCCACTTTGGTCCCCTATAACGTTTCGTTCAACTCAGAGAATTTGAAGATTCTGACAATTGCTATCCTTCACAGCAACAGGGTCTATACTCTCTAGCCCCTTTTATTTTTCGCTTGCTGAGAAAGTTTTAGTAATGGAATATTTTAAGCATAAACAAAAGCAGAAAAGAAACATGTGAACCTCACCTATGTAGCTCTCAGCTTCAGCAATTATCAACTCATCTTCACTCACTTTTCCTGCAAGCACTGTGGTAATTTTGAAGCAAACACTAAATATTAGAGCATTTCATTAATGTATTTATTGACATATGGTAATATATTTATACATGTGAGTATATATACATAAAAGTGAAATAACTTTTAAAAACATAATCACGATGTTATTCTCTCATACACACATATACACATGTGTTTGAAAAATTTGTTTTTTCTTTTTTCTTTATTTATTTTTATTTTTTGAGTTGGAGTCTCACTCTGTTACCCAGGCTGGAGTGCAGTGGCACACTCATGGTCACCACAGCCTCGGTCTGCTAGGCTCAGGTGATCCACCTCAGCCTTCCAAGTAGCTGGAACTACAGGCACGCACCACCACACCTGGCTAAAATTTTTTTTTTAATTTACTGTAGAGATGAGGTCTCGCCAAGTTGCCCAGACTGGTCTTGAACCCATGGGCTCAGGCAATCCTCTCACCCCGCCCTCCCAAAGTGCTGGGATTATAGGCACGAGCCACCATGTCCAGCCAGAAATAATTTCTTAACTCCATTAAATATCTGGTCTCTGTTAAAAACTCCCTGATTGTTTCCATTTTTAATTAATTTTTTTTCTTTTTATAGTTTGTTCAAATCAAATCAAAATAAGCTTCCTACATGCCAAATGTCAGATGTGTCCCTTAAACCATATATTTTTTCTATAGCATATACATTCCCCATGCATTTTATCTTTATTTTTATGAAAATCTGAACATTTATTTTATTTCTTTTTTTATTATTATAAAGATGTGGGGTACAATTCAGGGTTAGGTATACAAACATTGATTATGCAGGTACCTTTGTTGATGAGGTATGCCTCTCCCTCCCCTAGCAGTTTCCCTCAACTGCCAACCTCACCCCCCTTCTCTGACAATTTCCCACTACTGCCAAACGCTTTCTTATAGTATAATTGTTCAAGGTCCGCTTATAAGTGGGAACATATGGTACTCTGTTCTTTGTTTCTGTGATAGATCATTGAATATGATCAACTCCAAATCCATCCAAGTTGCTGCAAAGTCCACATATTTATCCCTCTTTATGGCTGCATAATATTCCATTGTGTATATGTACCACATTTTCTTTATCCAGTCTGACTTCGATGGGCAATGTGGTTGGTTCCTGTTTTTGCTATTGTGAATAGAGCTGCAACAAACATACGTTGCAGGTATCTTTTTTGTAGAACGACTTGAGTTCCTCTGGGTATATTCCCAATAGGAGAATTGTTGAGTCATATGGAAGGTCAATTTCTAGTTCTTTCAGAAATCTCCACACTGTCTTCCAAAGAGGTGCGAGCTTGCATTCCCACCAGCAGTGTAGAAGCGTTCCTTTTTCTCCATATCCTCGCCAGCATCTGTTGTTGTTTGTTTTATTAATGATGGCCATTCTTACTGGGGTTAGGTGGTATCTCAATGTGGTTTTGATTTGCATTTCTCTGATGATGAGTGAGGCTGAGTGCTTTTTCTGTGTCTGTTGGCTGCCCGTATATCTTCTTCTGGGAAGAGTCTATTCATGTCTTTTGTCCACTTTTTAAAGGGGCTGTTTGTTTTTTTCCTTTCAGCACATTTGAGTTCCTTGTAGATCCTAGATGTTAGGCCTTTGTCAG